ATATGTATCAATCAGATCAGAATTAAAGTGCTTCTCCAAACTCAACTCAAACACAGAGCTATCTACAGCAGGTAAGATATTATTTATTCATACCTTTCCAAAAAAATAAAACATACTTAAAAAAGAAACACTAACAAACCAATAAAAAAGCAACAATCCTTTAATATTAACAGACTGACATACTGTAGGACCGTTAAACCACTAGAATCCTACACCAGACAAGAATGGGACATTTCTGTCCAAAAACGTCCTCATTTCCTAGATGTTTACAGGTTGTTGTTAGAAGAGTATTTGCTTCAGAGAGGGAAATAAGACCCTCTTCTTTACTTGAGATATGTTGTTGCCATAAAATTTGAAATTACTATATATTTTCCTACATTTGAAATGTTCTTAGGTAAAACATTTAACATGTTTATTATGTTCCGCTGTGAATGAAAAACACGAGATTTGCAAATCAATGCATTTTGGTTTTTATTAACATTTTTAAAACATCAACCCAATTTTTTTCAGAATTGGTGTTGTACTTTTTTTTTTTTAATCTCACAAAGCTTACTGCCTCCTGCTTACTTACAAAACAAACAAAAAAAATATTTCAAGTTGGTGAGACATGAAAAGCTGCACCAGTCATTATTGGTCCGAGTTAATAGGTTTTAATTGATTTAGCAGCGTTCCAAGTAATCAACCATTTTTGAAAACTTGGTTTTCTTAGAAGTTTTAGAACACTTATTAGAAACTATCTTGACCTTTGAGCTAAATGTGTTGATGACCTCTGGCCTGCAGTTACAACTCATCACTCAAACATGAATCAGTGCTTCAAGCTGCAGATCTCCGGTGACACAACGTCACATGACCGTCCACAGAATGAGTTGGTGGAGCAGAACAGACTCCAGAAAATGAGCTTAGGAAAAAACAAACATGGGACAACCATTTCTGCATCTCAATATCTCCAGCCGTTTCCCCCCACCATGCATCCCTCAAATTGTCTTGAGCCTCCCACTATTTCTTTTTGAAACTCCAGTGTGCAGTGAAATATTCATTTGCATTAAAAATTAATTGCAGCAGCCCTAAAAGATTTTTAAATGTAATAATACCAGAGAGATCTCTTTGCTGGCTCCCTGTCTCACTGCACTGCTCGTGTGTTCAAACATACAAATGCATAAGGCGACTTTCAGAAAGAACTAATTGTGCTCTAAAATATCAAGCCATGGAATGAAAAGACAATTGCAATCAAAACATATTTATAAACTTCTACTTTATAAAAACTGCTAATTAAGAAGGGAGGAATTGAACAAAAAGAAAAGCTTGTTTCTTTATATTCCTCACTGAAATGTCGACATGCCCTGACCAGTGACGGTTCCGGCCTCAAGAGTATGTTTATTGATTCTGCTGGCATCTTTGACACTGATGCTCCATATGGGAACTTATTTTATTTTTCATAAGAAATTACTGTGAAATGAGATTGGAGAGTTGGTTGTTAGTGTCAGATATTGCTGCAGTTTGTCTTAGCACCAAATTTCAAAGGAAACCATGTGTGTATCTCACATGCCTTTGCATGAGGAGGGGTTGAATATATAAATATAATAAATGCAAATTTAAGGTGTTTTTCCAGTACAAGTAGCAGGACTGTGCCGCTGTGAAACTAATTTCTCCTTTTAACGTGACAGCATATAAATTTGGTGTAT